TTTTTAAGTTCAATTTCTTTCAACAATGTTTTGTAATTGGTGGAGTATAAGTTTTGGATTTTTTGTTAAATTTTCCCCCGAGTGTTCTTTTTGCAGTAATGGTAATGGAGGTGTTTTCTTAGTTTTGTCTTCAGGGTATTGCAGGGGAATTTTAAAATTGTGATTGTTGCTTTGTGACAGCTTGCTGAGGTGTTTCACTGGTCCTGCAGTGTTTTAGTGGGTTCCTTTGCAGGTTCATGGCATATGTGGGTTGAGGTGGTTTTCTTCTTTACTTTCCACTGTTCTTGGCTTTCCCATTTTCCTGCTTAATTCTTCTTGCTAATGTTCACTAGACACTGCCAGAGCAAAAGCCTTTATCTCCCTGCTGATCTTAGGGAGAACACATCCTGCCTTCCACCATCAAGTGGTAGGCCAGTGGGTTTTTTAGGTGTGCCTAGGTCTAAAATGCTCGCCCCACAAGGCTCCTATTCAAAGCTGGGGCTTGGGTGCGTGCTTGGGGGCACTATGTTCATGGATGGATCAGTCTGTTCCAGGCTGAATGTGCTGCCGGGAGGTGTAGCCCCCGTCACAGGAGGTGTCGCTTGCGGGTGTGCCCTTGAGGGTCCAGCTCTGGCTCTTGCCTGTTTTGCTCCTTGGCACTGTGGTCGAGCAGCCCTTCTCTGGCATGCCCTTCTGCCCCAGCGTTTCTGCCTTGGAGCCAGCCAGCTGTGACTGTACCCTCAGAAGCTGTGAGCCAAATTAACTTTCTTCCTGTAAGTTATGGGTTGTCCAGAGTATTGTTCCAGTGATGGGGAAGTGACTGATACGCAGGAGAGATTCCCTTTTATTCTTGGATATGTGTGTGGGGGTCACAAGAGGCTGCTGGATTTTTATAACTTTTTTATGTTTTTGCAAATGCAGAGATTGTCTTGTTTTTATTCTATTGATGTGGTACACCATGTTATTTAATTTTTCAATGTGAAAGCAACTTTGCATTCATGGTATAACTCCTACTTTGTTATGTTGTATAATCCTTTTTTATGTATTCATAGGTTCAGTTTTTTAGTATTTTGTTGAGGATTTTTGTATCTATATTCCTCAGAGACATTGTTCTATAATTTTCTTGTGATATCTTTGCTTGGCTTTAGTACCAGAATAAAACCCGATTACAGAATGATAATGTTTTTTTCTCTTCAGTTTTTTTTTGGGGCCAAGCTTGTGACTAACTGGTATCTTTTTGCTTTAAAGATTGGCTATAATTCACCAGGGAAGCCATCTAGACCTGGAAATCGTGAGTGGCTTTTTTTCTAGATTGCCATTAATCTATTTACCTGTTACAGTTCTAGTCATATTTTTTATTTCTCCTTGTGTCAGCTTTGGAAATTTGTGTCTATCCCATCTAACTTATATAAGTTGTTGTGGTTTGGCATATGGTGGTCATAAGAGTCCCTTACGTCCCGTGTAACCCTTTCATTTCTGTAAGCAGTGATGTTTTGTAGTACTAGTAGACAGCAATAGTGCCTTTTTTAGTCATTTGTCTTCTCACTTTTTAAAATGAATCTAGCTAAAATTTCATCACTTTTATTTATATTTTCAAAGAACCAACTTTTAGTTTTATTTATTTTCTCTCCTGTTTCTCTGTTCTTTATTAATTTCTACTATACTCCAAATTTTCCTGGATTTTGGGGGGGGCTTAGTTTGCTCTTTCCTCCAATTACTTTAAAGGTGGAATATTAGGTTATTAATTTGAGAACTTAATTATAAATTAACTGTAGTTTTGCCTTAAACCCTGCCTCAGCGTCCTCTGCCCCAGGCTACTGACTCTTCTTTTCCCTGGGCGTTCTGTTGCCTGCTTACTGTGCTCGGCTTGCGCATTATGAGACCTCTCCCCTGGGTTCCTCCTAGAGGCCGCCGGAAACTGTTCCGGGAGTTGTGTGAGTGGGTGATTGGATTGTCCCACGCACCATCCATGGCAGAGGAGGGTTGCTGTCACCTCAGTTTATAGCTGGGGCCAGAGCCACTCACCATGTTCTCTGAGTAGTGGTGAGTCAGATCTGAGGTTTAGTTGTCTCCTGGACTCTGCCCTGGGATTTTTGTACATTATAGAACCATTTGTCTGAGCTCGATATCCAGATATTTATCATTAACCTAGGCCTCTGTGCTGAGCTGCTAAACCGAGACCCAGTCACCCACTGTTTCTTGCTCTGTTTTACGAACCTGAATACGCACAGCTCCCCATCCTGCAGTCCTCCTCTGTCCTCTGCCTTTTATCTGGATGGTGCCACTACATACCTGCTCTGCAAAGTGACCACAGGGGCCGGATACACCTGCTTCCTGCTGTGCCAGGAATATCAATCAACCCTGCTTTCTGCCTGTCTTCTGCTCTGCCAGGTATCCCAGACCCAGTGAGATGTTTCTGGGACTGCAGGTGGAACGGGGTGTCCATTAGTCCTCCTCCTACTATACGGGATATACTGCACCGGTCCTGCACTGTTCTGCCCTCTGCTGCTGGGATCTCTTACTGGTTGAGGGTGGCCTGGTACCTAGAAGGTGTGGTAGAAATGCTGGTGAAATACAGGAATGCTTCTCAGCTGAAGACTGTCTTCTGGCTTGGGTGAGACGGGCAGGAAAACCTAGGGCAAGCGTGGAGCTCCTGCCCTGTCCCTCGTTCGTGGATGCGCTGGGAGCCTCACACTCCACCCGCCTCACTCCTGTGCCTCCAGCCGTTCCTCAGTCCTTCCTTACCTTGCAGCTGGCCTGGGTTCCTTCAGACCTCTGTCTTTCAGGACTTGCTGTGATATATTTTATTAAATATTTCTAAAGTTACCTTTTTTATTTCTGCCTGTCTCGCTTGAGGCCAGGCCCCCCGAGAAGAGAGATCCGGTCTTCTGCCTCTGCACAGTGGTTTCCTGGCCCCTTGCCCAGAGCCTGGCCTTTAGCCAAAGCTCAGTACATACTTCTGTCTTTGGACAAATGAGTAACAGAAGCCACTGATATTTTTTTGTTTGCTTGATATTTGCTTTCTATGTTTTGGTTGCCAGCTTAATTATAGAGGCATTGAAACACACGTGACCACATATTGAACAAACTTGTAAGGAGCATAAGCCATGGACCCAGAGCTCTTTTGGTGACAGTAGTATGTAGAGCTCCTTGAGGTATGTTCTCTTCCAGAGCGACCCTCACACTTGTCTGGAGCTAAATAACAATAATAGAAGGCGAGGTGGAGTGAAGAAGCTGCTTCCAAGCAGAGGGAGCTGGAGACAGAAATGTCAGATCAGGTTCCATTTACCTGTGATTTAAAAAAATAATCTAAATCGTGGGACAGTTTGTTCCAATGTTGCACTCCTGGATTGATCTTTATTATCTCAGAGCGTTTAATCAGGCTCCTAAACCAGGTGCTCCTGCGGACTTTTACTGTTGATGAGCTGTCAGACGTCTTTGTATCTTCTGTCCTTGTGTTCATGCTTCTTCAGTTAGGATTCCAAAGTGCACACAAGAATACCTGCATGTGCAGCGGCGCTGATGTGCAGGAAAATGTGCCTCACACAATCACAGATGGACAGATGGCAACTGCAGTCTGGGGCTGTAAGCTGATGTTCCCTCTGCCGGGCGATGTATTCATTATGCAGATGGGTATACTTCCTCTTGCTGTTGGTCATGTTTAATAATTTTTACTGGACTCTAAAAATGATTTTGCTCTGCAGTGCTTACTATCATAGTACAGCTTCTTTTGAGAATAGGAAAATGAAAATTTAGGACATTTCTGTTTGCTATAATGTACAAAAATCCCCAGGGCAGAGTCCAGGAGACAACTAAATTTTCTGTTTACCTGCAGAAAAGAGTAAATTCCATTTTTCACTTTAACGTATTACTTGTTTAGTTAAAGAATTGAATGGTGCCTGGTTCTCTGCTTTTTAATGTGATGTGATCTTACCTAACCCCCCAAAAATGGGTAGGAGGAAAGGTATTTGATAGTTTGTAAATGATTAAAACACATTTATACATCTCTTGGATGAAAAGTGATGTTTGTGATGAGATAAACGCATTCTATTCATTTTAGTTGCCACTAATAGTCTACAGAGTCACAGTGTGGTACTCAAGTCCATGTAAGTCTTGAAAATGAAGCACAGACAATCATTTGACCGTTTGGCGTAGAAATTAGCTATCCGCATCCATCTGGCTCAGGTAACATGTGAGGCACTGACCAGTCCTTCCTGCAGGTGACCTACAGGGTGCCCATGGTGTCCATGGTGCATGTGGTTTGTACTCCAGCCTTCCTGGATGTGTGACACCAGGGATGTTACATTCCCTGACCCTTCCGTTCCAGTTTCATCTCTGGAAACACCACCTGATCAGGTGGTGGTGAGATTTCGCGCACTAATATGAACATTCTTCAAATATGAAGAGTTTCTGTCTTCCTTGTCCCCTGCCTTGCCCTGCAGGATCCAAGAAGGAAAAAATTATACATAAAAAAGTCACAAATAACATACGCAGTACTTCAGGTAGAGCAGTGAAGGTATTCTATGACTGTGTGTGTGTGAGAGAGAAGAGAGAGAGAGGGCACAAGAGCAGGCGTGTAAGCTTGACAGGCGTGGTGACTTCCTGTCCTGGATTCTGTCAGGCTTTGCAGCCTTCCCTCATTGCAGGATCTGCATTTGAGCCAGCGAGCTCAGGTCCAGGTCAACAAAGACAAACAGCTGCTTCATGGGAAACTGAGGATTGACCAGACTTACTTGCTTTAGGATTCTAGAAATTTGCTGGGGGTTTAGCTCAGTGGAGTAAAGTGCCTGCTTCGCAAACTTGAGGTTCTGAGTTCAAACTCTGGTACCAAAAAAAAGAGAGAAAGAGAAAGGATTCTAGAAATTTGTAATTGAAATCCACTGAATTGCTCTTATGCCGGGAGAGCAAAAGTGAACTCGACCACCTTGTTTTTAAAAAAAAGCTGTCAAAGGAAGGTTGAGGATGTTTTTGAAGTTTTTAAAAAAATTATTAAATTTCTCAACATCTGCTTCCTTCGCCAGGCATCTCCCTGTGGATCCCTGAGCCCTCACCATGCCTGAGCAGAGCAACGACTACAGGGTGGCCGTGTTCGGCGCAGGGGGCGTGGGCAAGAGCTCCCTGGTCCTGAGGTTCGTGAAGGGCACCTTCCGGGAGAGCTACATCCCCACGGTGGAGGACACCTACCGGCAGGTGATCAGCTGCGACAAGAGCATCTGCACGCTGCAGATCACCGACACCACGGGCAGCCACCAGTTCCCAGCCATGCAGCGGCTGTCCATCTCCAAGGGCCACGCCTTCATCCTCGTCTACTCCATCACCAGCCGGCAGTCGCTGGAGGAGCTCAAGCCCATCTACGAGCAGATCTGTGAGATCAAAGGGGACGTGGACAGCATCCCCATCATGCTGGTGGGCAACAAGTGTGATGAGAGCCCCAGCCGCGAGGTGCAGAGCAGCGAGGCCGAGGCGCTGGCGCGCTCCTGGAAGTGTGCCTTCATGGAGACCTCGGCCAAGCTCAATCACAATGTGAAGGAGCTCTTCCAGGAGCTGCTCAACCTGGAGAAGCGCAGGACCGTGAGCCTCCAGATAGATGGCAAGAAGAGCAAGCAGCAGAAGAGGAAGGAGAAGCTGAAAGGCAAGTGTGTGGTCATGTGAGGGCCCGGCCAGGCCCAGCCCCGGGGCGGCTTCCTCTAGCCGCACCCCTCTCCTGCACCCTCCCCTCCCCTTCCGGGCAGCATGTCTGAGGCCCACATGTGACACACTGCATCTGCCCACATACCCTCATGTCCCTCCCTGCCAGTGTGGTCTATGCTGCTCCACCATCGGCCGCCCCCCTCGGAGCCACGGACCTGCCCGGTGGCAGAAAGGAAATCCTGCAGCCGCACAGGCCAGCTGAGGTGCCAGCCACTGTGCTCGTAGGCAGCTTGGCCCTTAGGAGGCAGGAGGACCGGATCCTGAGGAAGAAGGATAAGTGGAGAGGACACATATCATCTACATGTGTGTTGAAGTGTGTTAACCCTGAGCTACGGGTGCCAACCTGACACCAGGCGTCTATCCTTGCCCAGAAGCCGGTTTCACCTCAGGGCATGGGTGGCAAGAAGACCACTGTCCCGCTCGGACACAGTGGTTCCTTTCCACAGGTTTTTAAGTGGCCCCCAAGGATGCCTGCACCCTGTCCAGTCCCCTGCCCTGCCCTCAGGGCGTGGCTCACCTGCTGTGGCTCTAGTTAGCACCACCTTGTTAGCTGAGGAGAGCACTTCCTTCCCGTGCCATGGGGAGTACCCTGGTGTCAGCAGTCCTTCCGTGTTTGGGCAAGGGTGTCGTGACAGTCTCACAACTCGCAATAACGTTCCTGTGTTACACTGAGGGGTTAGAAATGCGACGTTCCTTTCCTTTGGTCTGGGAGGGCGACATCTGCCAGCCCTCAGATTTTTAAATAAAAGCCAATAAAATAGCTATTTTTAAACTTTCTTCCCCTTCTCAGACAGACTTCTTCTCTTAAATAACTTGGTCAGTACCCCGCTGGGCAGCAGAGGCACCCCATAACCAGAAGCACATCCATTTTTCTAAATGACAACACGCATCCGTGCCACACTCTGCACCTCACGGAAACACTTTGAAACTGTGGCGTTGGCTGTGGTTTTGATGATCTGGGTCCATGGAAATTCTCTCCTGGAGTGCACCGAGTTACCCAGCAGTCAGTTCTCTCGCAGACTCTTGGCTGAGAGCTGTTCGGTGTGGTGTTCACCTGAGAACCATTTTCCTTCTAATGATTGGGCACACGTGCTTAGCTCTTCAGACCGAGCCCCAGCCCCTGCTGGCTCCCACGCACGGTATGGCTGATGGCGGTGACTGCACCGGCCCTGGCACTGTCCCGGTGGAGCCCCTCCCTCGACATTCTGCTCAGCTCCCCTCTTGCACCACCTCTCCGCCCCTGATGTGTGCTGTGTGGGCACCCAGCATCTCTCAGCTCCCCTTCGGCCCTGTAGGACAGCCACTTCCCAGCTGTGCAGGAAAGGGATATTGGCAGGGGGGAAGGATGGGCAGGCATGGAGCCTGTGGGCACTCTCTCCAGATTCCCCAGGACCGTTCAGTGGGATCCAGCAGTCGGCTTCTCTCTCCTTATTCGTCGTGTTGTTTCCACTTCTGTCTCAGAGGCGATCCGTCTATCATTTCGGTGTGAACAGAACCTCATGGCCAACATGGGGTGCAGAGATTCTGGAGGGTTCTCTGCTGACCACAAGCTCCAGTCTGCCCCTCTGCCTGTGAGGCTTGCACATGAGCGCTTGCTACTGAGCACCCCTCCCCGCTGATCGTGGCTCAGGAGCCAAGGTCTCCTCAGCCTTTTGAAGGCAGTTACCCATATGTAACCATTCAGGGCTTTGTCAGTAGGAGAGGGTAATACTGAGAGTCAGGGCTTGTTCAGGACGAATTTTGTTCCTTCACATTTCATGCGTGAATTTAGAGGATAGCAAAGCTGGCGAGACCTCCACTCCGGGGCTTCACTTGGAGCTCACTCCTTGTGACCTGGATGGAGGACCTCAGTGGCTCTCACCTCATTTTCTAGGGCCCCCAGCTGAGTTGGGGCTGAAGGGGTTGGAGTGTAGAGCTGGGTCAGATGACTTTCAGCATCAGTTCGGTTCTGGCCCAAGTACATAGCGTGAGTTCTTGAAGACATAGTCTGCACTGCACACAAGTGCAGAGGTTTTGGACCCAGGCAGAGTAAGTTGATTTGAGGGTGGTGCTGTGGGATTAAGCACGGGCTCTGGCAGGTCGCTCTGTTCCCACTGTCCTTTCCACCCTGCGACAAGCCATGGGCCTGCAGTCAATGCAGCAAGACCCACATAAGAGCAATATCGAATTGTTCATTATATCTAAAATTATATATATTATATAATTTATCTTCCTGCATTTTTGAAGTATAAAGTAGCAAATTGTACATATCTGTAAGCTAGCATATTTGTCTCACTGTTTGTAATATTTAAGAACTGCTCACTTTGTAGAACAAAAAAAATGTATTAAATATTTTTAAAAACTGCTCTGTGATACTTTTCCTCCCAGATTTGTAGAGTGTTACTCCTGTGTGAGCTCTCTGGAAATCCCCCCCTCCCTTGTTGGTCACATGTAAATCCTTGAAGATATATTCTGGAGTTGAGTGGCCTGGAAGCCTGTGTGTAGACAAAGTATTTGCAGAGCATGACTTTTGTATATGTGGGATATCAACATGTATATATTTAAGGTATATCTATTGTTACAATTCCATTCTCTATTATATTTTATTTACTTTCCTGTTACAAAAAGCATCCTTGCGTGTGAGTTACCAGTTGCAGTGATGTCTGAAAATGATGGCCCATGTTACAATAAAGCTCAGTTGTGGAGCCCTGCTGCCCGTCCTGCTGTGTCCTGAGGGTGTAGCTGGTCTCTGTGGCTTTGCTCCACTCGCAGCCGTGACCGACACCTGCTAAGTGCCGGCCTGTGAGGAACCCGGGGTCCATGCCCGTCTTGGGTGGGAAAGGGCATCTTGCCTCATGGTTCCCTGTGACACCTTCCTTACTGGGCCTTGTTTCTGTGTGTCAGGCTTCAAGCCAATGGCAGAGGCTAGGAGAGTCTTCTGGAAATAGAATTCTCTCTTCTGCTGTTTCCAAGTGGGCGGCCTCGTGGCCTCTTGAGCCCCGGAGTTGTCCAGTTGATTAGTGGTCACCTATCAAAAGTGGCTCCCCAGACTTAGCACTTGGGCTCTTTAGCCCAGTTCTTTCATGAATAGGGTTGAAAGGGAACTGGCATTTTAGGAGAAAAATTGGGTTATTGCGCATTTTAAGTCCCTCAGAACTTGGGAGCTTAGCCAGGAAGGGGCAGCATCCCACACTGAGAAAGCTCTTCTAGGTCTGGAGTCCCAGGTCACTCTCCATCATCATTCGGTCCCCGTCACCGTGACCGATCACCCAGCTCTGTCCAAGGCCCAGCCCCTCCCTGAAGCCTCAGTCTGAAGCCAGCTGGGTGCTGTTTTCTAGCTTCAGGTCAGAATGGAGCAGAGATTTCAACAGGAACAAGAGAGGGAAGAAACGGGGGAGAGGCCTACCTGGTTAGATGAGCAGGGAAGACTGTTCTGTGCCCCTGCCCGCTGCAGGCCACTGCATGAAGTGGTGGTAGGAAGCCCCTGGCATTGATCCTGGCAGTTTCCACTTGGTGTTTATTCCTCCTGCACACTGTGAAATAAAGTTTCATTTTTGAGATACAGAAAACAGTCCAGAAACTACAAACAGAATCTACTCAGTGGCTCCTAACCTTCTACAAATGCTTCTGCAAATGGGGTGCCCTGTGGGTCACAGACAGCCTGCTTATAGGGCATGGCGCTATCTCGTCACACACGGAACTTTCAAGGCAACAAATAGAAACTGGTGTCTGGGGAGGATCCCATGCAGAAGGTGCTGCAGGGCAAAGAGCAACCTGCAAATACCAAAGCTACGGGCAGCTGTCCTCTCCCTGAGTCCCTTTGCAGCTCTTTGGTCGCATTGTGTGCAGGCCACTTTCCCTTCGGGGGCCTGCCCCCTCTCCATGCCCATCCGTCTTTCCCTATAGTTATTGCCATAGTATTCAGGGATCCCCAGTTCTGGAGATAATTAAAATCAGCAAGTGCCATCAGTTCCCCAGAGCAGGCACGCAGGTCCTCATCAGACTTTAAATGCGGCTGACACAGCACATCAGGGCCTTGGGATCCACGTGTCTGCGGCAGCTGGCCTGGGTGGGGCTGGGGTGCCAGTAGTTCCTGGTGGTGCAGGGCCCAGAGACCACCGAGGAGCAAAGCTGAAAGTCTGTGTGTTCTCCAGTGTTGGTGTGCACTGGAATCACCTAGAAGAGCTTCAGGTAGTAGCAGTCTCCCCAGGAATGAAAGGCCCCAGGGTACCCTTGAAAATACCCCTTTCCCAGCCGAGTTCCACTGGGCACGTCTGCCAACTCCCCCAGTGCCCTGAGCGGGGTGGGTTGCTTGTTCAGTCACATTCCCCTCCAGTGCATATTTGCTGGGAACCAATTTGGTGGCCGTGGTGTCAGAGTCTTGGCCTCGGACTGCATCCTCCTCCTCCATCATGGCGCCTGCAAAAGTTGATCTTGAAGGGAACTGAACACAGCCCAGCTCGCACCATCTGCACCACCAGGGAGTCACATCAGTGCAGGGTTTGAGGTGACTTCAGTGGTCTTGGGTATGAACCCCAATGCCTATTGAGAGTGCCCCCACTTCCCCTGTCTAGTCCCTGTCTGGCCCGTGCTCTGGCTATGGTATGGGTTCTGTTCCTGGTAACAACTCCCCTTCCTCCTATGGTCTTGGGCCAGTCTGGCCTGTCTCTGCTGACAGCTGTTGGTATTCATACCAGAACTGTGGTCCACAGAAGACCCCCTCAAGCCCACACCTGGGGGCCTGGGGTATTCGCTGGGTTCCTCTGACCCCAGGGCTGTGCTGCTGGTGCTGCGCGGCTCACTTTTCTGGGTGGTTCTCGTTCCCCTTCCCTTTCCTTCTCTATTGACCTTTTCTTAACTAACAGAGGTCTTTGCCTGCTTGTCCTGTTCTGGGGCTCGCCGAGACTGTCCTCTGCCTCCAGCTTCTCCTGCTGTGGGGTATGAAGCAGTGCATAACGGAATATGGTATGAAACCATAGAGGTCAGGTAAAAAATCATCGTCACCATGGTCACCATAGTTGTTATTATCATTGGGATTGGTTTCCTTTTGTGATCCTCACAATCGTCTCTTTGCCTTGCAGCACGGACATGGTTAGCTGAGCTGGAGAAATAGAAACATTGTCCAGCTGGCCTCTTGTAGGGAGGATATAGTTCCCTACTTAATAAATTAAGTAAAAGTTATAAAGATTTCTTTGTTAGTGACAGCAAAGTGATACACAGTAGAAGTAAAGTGTCTGCCCAGTTGTTGCCCAGAGTTTACATGGTATTTCTGGCATCTGCTTAATAACACATACACACAGGCTTTCAAGAAGTGTGCGCCGAGTGCTCAGCTCTCTCCGTGTGCTCTGTGTGTGCCAATGTGTTCAGCCACTGTCCTGCAGCCACCCCAATGCAGGGTCACACACATTACTCCCAGTGCTCCCACGGCAGCCTCGGGGTGTCTGGGGACTAGGGCTGGAGATGGGCTTGAAGACATCGGTGTCACTAATGCTGGCAGCGCAGAGCTGTCACACGGGTGTGTCCGGCTGCCTACCCTGGCTGCACTGGTTTGGAAACCCTTCCTGTCTCCGTGGCCCTCCCTACCCATTCCAGGCTCTCCCCATCCTCAGGCTGTCCTGGAGTGATGCCCTCGATGAAGCCACATCTTGTCATGTAAGTCACAAGGCCTCTTCCACTTCAGAATTCTTGCTTGCTGGACCTTGGCTTTGATGCCGGGCTTTATTCAGCAGAAATTGCTCCTGCATAGATGCTGATGGGCTCCATACTGTGTAACTGACTTCATCCCTGAACCCTTCCATCAAGCCAAACTCTGCTCTGGACCAGTGAGTGTTCTCAGAGGAAAGGTCTGTAGGACCCCAGGCCCCAATGGGCGTCTGTGCAGCCCTCTGGATGCCCCTGTTTGTCTGTGAACTTCCAGTGGAGTAGGGCCCCCATTGCTGGAGCTCTGGGGGACAGAGGGATCCTGCTGTTTTTGTCCCAGGAGGAAGAGCCGAGGGTGTTTTCAGGCTAGAGCAGTCTTAGCCAGCAGGAGACCCTGGGAGCACCCCTTTCTCCCCAGGAATATTGCGGGGTGGTACTCTCTTGCCTGGTTCTCCCCAGTCTGCAGGAGGTGGCCCTGCTAAAGCAGAGCTCCTGCAAATCCAGGCCTAATGGATGTGCAGCCCGAGGGAGCAGAAGATGGGGCAAAGCTCAGCCTGACCTGACCAAGGCATCCGTGTGGTGTACACTCTCACAGGTGAGCTTTCCCTGCCCGCCAGCCTCCCCTTTAAAGTTCAACTGAGGAATGAATACATAAAATGTGTGTGACATAAATGATACTGTTATGAAAGTTGAGGTTCTTAAGAACTGCTTGTTCTTTGTCCTCTTTGACAGATGATTTAAAACAATTTCTAAATTTAATCCAATTTTTTTGAAGTGGGGGTACTTGGGGACCAAATCTGGGAAATCCAGGGGCATTGCACATGCTATGCAAAACACCCCTACCCTTGACTACTGTTAGCCAAAAATAAATAAGACTGTAGAAATTATGCAACACTTGTACAACAGTTAGATAACTGGATAGAGTATGCAGGCATGCGGCAGTGGCTTGTCTTTACTCTGAGTCAGTATGGTACATGATGTTGGCCAGTTCACTGATTTGTGAGGTATTTCATCGTCTTCAGGGAAAAGGCAATGAAAAGATATTTCCCCTACAGATTTTGCAAACTCATTGACTTTCACAGAATCTCATTGCATTCCTAATAGTTCTCCATAGCTATTCGGGGGAGGGGCTCTGGCCATGTAAGATGATCTCTTCATGTTGGGCATTTCATTTTGGCTGGTGCATTTTCTTGTGTGTTGCATGAATCTTCTTAGATTTGTTCAATTGCATCTCTGTCCTTCCTATGTCTAATTCAGGCTTCACTGCAGCACAGAGGAAGAGAAGCAGCAGTGGCGGAATGGTTACAATGTCACCAAACACTGCCCTTCCCATGCACAGCACTGATCCGTCTATGAATGTGATGCTTTTCTAAGTCAAGACTGTCACCTCTCAAACCTCACCTCTACAAATAAAAGTAGGGGATAAGATAGAATATCTACAGATTTGATAATTTGGCTCTGATATTTCAGAACAATGCATCTTTCTTTTGAATATCTATCAGTTGTCAAACTTGCTCTCATGGATAAGCCCATCAAGATCTTTTTTATTTTAGCAGAACAGATACAAAGTACTGCTTTCAAGTGTGAAATTAATAAACTGCACAAGGAAGAGAAGAAACCAAAACACTGTATTTCTTTGTAGCAGAAAGAGAACCAAGTCATATTATGCAGAGGTGTCTAGAAAACCAGTTTGCTACAGGAGTCTCAGAGGGAAAGAACAACTCGCATTTGGTTGAAGAGGCTTTGCTGTTGGACATCACTGATGGGGCACGATGTCAGAGGGCAGAGAGACACGTGCCAGAGTCTTAGCTGACTGCCCTGTGGGCTGAGGCCTCGTTGGTGCCTGGCCTCAGTGGGTGATTTGGACTGCAAACATGAGCCGGTGACCACCTGGAGAGGGATGGGCTGTGCCCAGATGCCACCTTACCCGCTGCTCTACCCCACGGAGCAGGTGGAGGCTGACAGTACACCTTCTATGCTTGACTCGGGCTCGAGGAAGCAGTGGACAGTCTGAGTGCAAGCTCATTACGGGTGCAGTGTCTGGTCCGCATGCTGTGCTGAGAGCAGGGCAGCTCCTAACCCTCAGGGGAAGGCAGGTGCTGTGTTTTGGGGATTAAAGTTGAGTTGTTTTCTTTTTGCTATTGATCACATCAGTAACAGTATGATCAGGTGATATATTTTGGGGACACACTGACAGACTTACAGCATAATTTTAAGTGAAAATATTGTTTTTTATGAGCTATAGTGCATCATCTGTGATTGTTTGGCTGAATATAACAAGAAATTCTTAAATAATAGTTACTTAGAAAAAATAGATTTGTCACATTAAAAAAAAAAAAAAAACCTCCATTGCCTCATGAATCTGTGAGCTATCCATGTGAGTTAGATGGTTTAGTACCTTCAGCCTAGATGAGTCTGGGATGTGCATGTCTAGCACACAGCCTGAGAGCCCAGGATGGCTGCTGTTACTCCAGCCATCATGTCCTCTGCAGGAGTAGGGACTTCAAGGAAAGCACTCAGACCCTGCAGCACTGACTGAGCAGACCCTGTTTGGGTGGACACTGCTGGTGGCCAGGGACACTCTGAAAATGCTCAGGCTTTTCATTTGGGAGGCAATCTACTCACCAAGAGGCTGGGGATTTGATACTAGGAAGGGAAAATGGTGGCTTTGTTAAGGCGTAAGTTTCATTATCATCACCCAGTGTGGTGAAGCCCACAGTTCAGGAGACGCCTGGCTCTCAAGTGTGCCCCCGTGCTAGAGCAGAACACGTGGTACTGCCACGCAGATCCACGCAGCCCACGCAAGAGCCCGGATGTGGCGGGAAACTGTTGCTAGGGCAGGGCAAGGCCGGCTGAGTGGGCAGAAGGCACTGAGCTGGGGTGGCCTGCGCAGAGCACTGCAGAGGCACCAGGGCCCTGGAATGGGGAGGTGTTGTCTGTCTAGGAGCTGGCCAGTCCGGGGAAGAGCCATCCCTCCAGCGTCTGGGCACAAAAATACCAAACAATCTGTGCAATAGAGAGGCACAGCACGTGCCTCAACCTCAGTCCCAGCTGCGGGAGGATGGGCGTGGCAAGGCCAGTGGGCGTGGCCTGCCAATCACGGAGACCCGGGACCCTGCAAGCCCCACCCCTGGGACCAATCTGGAAGGACCATCTGCTTTCTTCTGGCGGGAGATAAGCAGGTTTCTGATTGGGCCGTGAAGATCTGACATCAGCCTGGCGAGCGCAGGTATAAAAGCCTGTGGCCTCTGAGTGCGTGGCCAATGTGAACCCCACAGCCTGTTCGCTCGGCGCAGTGGGCTTCTTTCCTACCTGTAGGCAGTGTGGGTGCTCACTGCTGTTTTCGCTTGTTTGGTCCAATTTTTGTTAAGGCCACGCTCCTGAAAAGACCCCAGACCACGGGGCCTGGGTCAGGTGAGAAGCCCGAGGCTCGTGGCCGCTCCCAGCACCTCACTGTCTAATCTCAGCGCTGTCATAGAACAGTCTCCAAACCCTGAGAGACACAGCATAAAGAAACGTTTCCTCCAGCAGGATGCAGCGAGTGCTGGCTTCAGGACACCCCACCTGTCACTAGTGAGCATCTCAAGCTCCTTGGCTAACGGCAGAGAAAAACTCTAAAGTTGGGGTCCTCCAAGGGTCCTTTCCCTTTCCAGCCCTTTTCAATCCTAGTACCCAGAATGACTGCCGGCTGCCTCCCAGGAAGCGCTGTTAGCCCTTTGAGCTAGTGCTTTCTGTTTCAGCAGAAAGCCATGAGCCGTTAAAGGCTGTCACCTCGGGGTGACATCTGGTTACGTGTGCTGTGGGATCCCAGAGGGGGAGCTTGGCCTTCAGCCCCATGGGGTTCGGCTCTGGGGTGTTCATCACCGGGTATCTAGGCCGCTGGCTCTCTGCGGAGAGACCTGCAAGTGTCTTGATGGCTGGGTCCAGTGAGGGGGGCAGGGGCCCATGCATAGCCAGGACACTCACCCCCTTGTCACCACCTTATCCTTGCAGTCAGAGGTGTGCTGTGCCAGCTCCTCCTATGTCACAAGAGCCGAAGGTGCCCATTTTTCCCAGCTCTACAGTTGACAGCTTGCAAAGGGATGGTCAGTCCTCAGACTCCAAGAGTGGACCCCTGCTGCTAATCCCCATCGGCAATTCTCAAAAACAACGAGACAGAAAAAATAGAAAAAGAGAAGCGCTTTATTTTAGCTGGTACCCAGCGGTGTCAGTCCCACAGTTGCTAGACTGAGCACCCCGAGTGAAGGAGTCTGAAACTTTTGAAGGCAAAATCCGCAAAGTGAGGGAGGGTGTTTGTGCTGGTGTGTGTCCTTTGGAAAGCTCTCAAGCATAGTTTTGGGTACAGCTTCACCTGGGGACTTTTCACGCACGTAAGTACAAGGTTGTGGTTTTTGTGGTGGGTCATTTCTTGGAACAGATGTCTCTATCAGGACAAACAATTTTATCATCTCTTATGGAGCAGTTGGAGGGGGGGAATGGTCGGTGCTTTACAGAACAGCAAGGTAGCGAAAGGAACTGGTTAACAGGTTACAACACAGACCACCAGGGTTTTCTTCTCTTCTCTCTCACCACGGACAGTGTGTTGCTTCTTCTCCCAGAGCTGCCTCTCTGCTTCCTTCTTCTCCGGGTTCCCGGCTTCCCCTTCCAGCACCCTCCCTCCTGCAGCCTTCTCTGCTCACCAGTCACCAGTCTGCTGCCAGTCCCATCAACTGGCATGTCACTCTCAGAGATTACAAGGGTACAGAGTCCTGAGTCACACTATGTTCTAGTCAGCAGCGCCTGCACATGTGCCAGTGGTCTCGTAGGGTTCTAACAGAACTGAAAAACTCCTCTTGTGCTATAACACGATTGCTATCATCACGCTGCGGGGCAGCACCTTCTCACGTGTGTGTGGCAGTGCTGGTGCAAAGTAAACAAAGCTACCGTGCAGGGCAAGGGTACAGCACACCGCTGAGAACATTTATTATCCTTGATGATGAGCGGCCATGTTGCTGGTTTAAGAATTATGGTAGTATTATTATTTTAGAGCTCATGCCTACTTACAAAGAAAGAGTGGCTGCAATACAGTATCTGCTATGGTTTCGACCTACAGTGTCCCCTATGTGTGAAGGGTGGTTGGACCCTGGAGGTGCTCTCCTGAGGGGTGGATTTATCTCCTGACCAATGAAACAGTGGCTCCTGCCATGAGGAGGCGGGACCTAGGTGGCAATGGGTCCCCAAAGCTGGACCCAGAAGCCTGTTGTGTGCTCCAGGAATCTACATTGCTTTGTTCCTCAGAATCCTGGTAGCAGTGGGCTGCAGGCTGTGGCAGCTGCATGCTGCGACCTTCCCAGGACAGTGCCCAAGTCGCTGGGTGGGGTCTCCCCTAAGGGACAAGGCCAGAACTGACGTGATGGAAGCTCATGGAGCCCTTTGGTAATGTTCTTGGAAGCATCAGAATCGGGTATTTCATAACCCAGTTGGCCCAATATTTCACTTTAGGCACATATGAGACGAACATGTAACATAAAATAAACAGTCATATCCTTAGAGATGCCCTCTGTGGCCTTACTTAGGAGAAAGCTGGGAAAGATGTAAAATCTGACAGCACAGAGCAGGGTGTGTTACAGGGTGGTGAGAAGTGGTTTCCGGAGGCAGTGACTTAATTATCAAAGAAAATTTAAATTGGGCTCACAAAGCCAAACAAGTGTGCTTTATCTATTTCGGGACAATGCGTTTTAATGGAAAAGTTTTTCTGGTTACTGCTTAATTAAGCCATAAGTTAAATTACCCAGAACACTCGATTAATTGAAGATTTCTCCTAATGAGGATTTTGTCAGTCAAGTCGGGAACCCGAGCTCCATTGGGCTGCGGCGTGGTGCTGCCTGGCCTGGCTGTGGGCAGTGGAGCTTCCCTGTGGACAGCGGATCACAGCCGCAGAGCCATCAGGCTGTGATGGGATGCTGATCTGCCACGTCCTGCGGGTGGCTGGGAGTCATGGTGCTGTCTTTCAGGGTTAAATGAGACCCGGAGTGAGCGGCTGACTGGAAACGCAGCTCTGTTCACCCAGAGGTAACCACTCCCGGGCGACCCAGGTGCTGCTGCCCCTGCCTGAGCTAAAACTTCGGGCTTGCTTTCTTTTCCGGCTATGCTTTCTCTACTCAGTGAGACTTAAGCTGGAATAGTGCCCTGGACCTGTCTGCTATCCCTTTCCTTTTTTCGGTTACCTCTTCACTGCTTCTTTCCACACTCCACGTCACTTTCATTCACACACAGCTCGAAATAGCTGCTGGCAGGAAGCACTAAATATAGGCCCATTAGAAATAGCCACTCTCACCCTTCCCGGAGCTCCCGGCCTTCTGAGCTCTTTGCAGAGTGTGTGCAGGGGCTGCTGTTCCCTGCTTTGAAGCATACCTCTGGCTGGCACTCCCAATGTGGGGGTCCCTGTTCCCCTCCAGCCTGACTGGGACCATGGCCACCTTGTGAGCAAAGCCTGGGGCTGTGACGGGCAGGGGCACTGTGCCCAGAAGGCCCTGGCTCAGCTGCAGGTGACTGAAATCCTATCATGAGGACTTCCTTGGGTCTCACACTTGACTTGAAGGGAGTCCTCGGGAGGGTCCAGGGGTCCTCAGGGTTTCTATAGGCCTTTCCATCTTGGTTGTTGGCCAGGTGGTCACTGTGGCATAGGCAAGGTCTTCTGGGGGAAGAAAGGTGGTGTTGTCCTGTTACATAACTGTAACTGACTCCCTGCCCCCCAGCAGTGAGTTCTACATTGTTGGATCAAAAATGTTTGAAAGACTTGTGTCTGTACCCAAGCTGTGCAGACGTCTTCCTTGTCATTGCTCCCCGCACCATAAAGTGTGATGCTTGTTTATATAACACTTAGATCGTATTAGGCATTGTTAGTAATCTAGAGATGGTGGAAATGATGCGTGGGAGGACAGCACAGGTTAAAGCAGCTATGACAGGTTTCAGAGCGGCAGCTTGTGAATACATCTGTCGTGGTATCTGGGGTTCCTGGGGCAGTCCTCATGATGTCAAGGGTACATGTCTTCTGGTTTCCTAGCACACATGACTGGTGGCCCAGCGAGCCTGAGGTCCTGTCCTCACCAGCCTGGTGCTGTGCGGTCCCTGTCCCAGTGTCCCCACACTGCTCAGGAAGCCCGGTCCACCCATGGTGGGGACCTGGCCCCCGAACTCCACCGCTTCCGCTGGTGCCCTCGGCAGTTATCCGAGTCTCAGGGACCCTCTGCCCCCGACAGCATTTCTCTACCCAAGTGAGGATGGAACAGAATTTCATGATTCAAATTCCCTGAGAACCTGAGCCCCACACACCACCCCCATGTCCCCAGTGGGTTGAGATCTCTCCAAAAAGCAATGGGGGGAAGGAGGGGAAGTCTGGGGGCGCTGGCTCCGGGCCCGTGTGCATGTTGCCGTCGACTGCACACTCCACACCGACTCTGACAGGATGTCCTCTGCCCTCCCTGGTGGAGGGCACTGCAGCTTCAAGCGCCTCTGGCCCTGGGTGCCTGCAGCTCACCTCCTGTGCCTGTGGGCAGAACTGATCTTCTCTGGATGGTACTCGGATACATGTTCTCTTCCAACTTCTCGTCTGCTCGTTATCTAAACCAATTCTTTGCCTCAGGCCAGCAAACAACTTTAGAAATAATCCATAAAGTAGTTCTTAAGAGTGAACTTCTTGTCTGCATCTGGCAATAACAAGCATCCCCCGAATCTCAGTGCCTTCTAACAACAGAGGCTTATCTCCTGTCCTGCTCCTCGCGCTGTGTGCCCTCTCTGGGGTGCTTCTCCCAGCAGGAACTGGGATCCAGTGCTTCGGCCCCACTGGAGGCAGGGTCGTAGGATTGCCATCTTTCTCACACTATCCAGATCTTGTCTGAACCAATTCTTTAGGTGTCCCTCAAGCTAGTCAGGAGGACCCCCCCTCAATAACTATCGTAACCGGAACTCGGAATTAACCCCTCCGTGGTTATCATGACAGCTAATCCTACCTGCCAACCGGATTGGCCTGACAGTGGCCAGGGAGGTCTCTGAAGCACCCTCAGGGCACACCTGCTCCTGCTCTCTGCATTGCCTCCCGGCAACCCCAGCTGTGGAGCTGGCTGCAGGTAGGCTGAAGGTCCTCAGCAGCGAGCCCAGTGGCACCTGTGCTGTGTTAAGGTTTGGGTGTTGGGTGTTGTATCCCCACCACAGGAAAGCTGGCTCATACAGTATCTTCTTGGAACTCATCATCTTTACGGAGAATATGCACTTATAAGGAAGGATGCAAAAACCTCTCTACTGAGAGTGAAAACTGAGCTCAGGGCATTATGAGAAATGGTGTAGCCCAGCCAGTTCCTCCTGCTGCTCCAGCACGTGGACCGACTGTTTGGTTCAGGTTGTTTCGGTTTTGTGCAGTGCGCATCTGGCTGGGAATCTAGGCGGGACTGTGGGGTCAAAGTCTTGTCAGAGAAACTTGAGGAAGGGGGGTTCTGTTGAGCAGGGTCTCGCAGGAATCAGCACCCCTAGGAGGGAGACAGAGAAAAGAGATCCTAACCCTGTCTGCAAAGCACCATCTAGCCTGGAAAGGAGAGGCGGTGGTTTTAAGAGTGGCAGCCAGTGCCGAAGCAGCATCCCAGGATGGAGGGTGAATTCTGCATCTTGAAAATGGTTGCCATGGCAATTAGTTGGAAGAAGGTGGGACCACTTTAATAAGAGGAACTCTAGATCACCTGAAGGAAAAGAAACACATTTAGTCCCCATGTTATCTAATTCTACATGAAGATGTAATTATGGGATTTTAAACAATTTTTACATACTGTCTGCTTTATTATGCAGTGTGAAGAGGAAAACCTGCGAATGCCATGGGTAGCCACCGCTACCTGTCACACCCGGCCGTGCCTGGGGGCTGCTCCTTTCTCCCACTGAAAAGGGGAGCTAAAATGGAGGCTAGAAACCAATCAGATATAAAATTCAGAGAGGAGAATAGCGATGGAGCACAATGCTTGTCTACCGCCTCTACGCCCCAGAGCCCCGAGCACCATGGAAACAGCTCAAGCTTCTTCCCACAGCTACCCAGAGCATCGGGGGTGCCTGCCCAGCCAGGAGGCCACCAGAGCAACTCGACTCATCCACACAGCCGCCCTGTGACTCCCTCCAACTCTCTGTGCAATGCCAGCACCACTAAGGGAGAGAAGCACAGGGCTCTTGAGAGTGACTCCATGACCACAAGGGCCATGCAAGCCAAGGCTCCATGGCCAGATGCTGCCACAGCATGGGGAACGCACTCTGCAGTTTTAAGGAAAGGGAGTCCTATTTTTACGTCACTGACGAGTACCCATACTTTCTAAGTCATCAGTAAATAAACAGTAGTTATGGCACAAAGCAGGCCATCAACAAATCATGCCTGTTTTTTTTCACCGTTAGAAACCTTCTGAGTTTGTGACTGGCATTGTGTTACATGAGGAAGAGCAACAGATCCCTAGCGTCAGTAGAGATAATCACAAGACAGTCAAGCCAAGCCTCGGTCATCTTTAGACCACCACCACACTTTGGTCGCTTCAGCAAGTGTCCCAGCTCCTGTGTGCATGCATCGTGCACACACCCACACCCCACATCCATGTGCACTTGCAAACGCTGTCACCACCAGTGACTTCCTGTGAAGAAGCTGCTATAAACATGAATTCCTTACCTGAGCCTCCTGCCAAGGAGGGCATCAGCTGAACCCGAGGAGCATCCTGGGCTCACATCTTCACTGCTCCTGTGGCTGAAAACGGACTTCAGCAAGTGAGCTCAGCTGCTGGGGGGGAGCTGGCTCGTATATGGATGGAGAGGGCTGTGTGCCTGCTGTCACCACCAGTGACTTCCTATGAAGAAGCTGCTATAAGCATGAATTCCTTACCTGAGCCTCCTGCCAAGGAGGGCATCAGCTGAACCCGAGGAGCATCCTGGGCTCACATCTTCACTGCTCCTGTGGCTGAAAACGGACTTCAGCAAGTGAGCTCAGCTGCTGGGGGGAGCTGGCTCATATATGGATGGAGAGGGCTGTGTGCCTGCTGTGGCACACATGCCATAGGTTTGCCACCCTTGGCCTAGGCGTGAGAGTGACGGACTTGAAGATTGCTTGAGCACGACTGTGTATAAACCGCATGTGTATGATGTCACATCTTGGTGGGGCTCTACCTCGGGTTCACAACTCCCTAATATCAGCAGTCGGTTCCCCAGCAGAGACCACATCTGTGGTTTTTGTGGCTCAGTTGCAGCTGGTTTTATCAGGTATGTGGCGGTGTCCGAGAGCACCAGAGGGCTGAAGCAGGAAGGAAGCAGAGAGGCCTGCGGGGCTCAGGAGCTGAGCCGGGTGATTCAGAGACCGTTTCTGGAAAAAGCGGGCTGGAACTAGGGGGCTCTGGCTGCCACAGTGGCTGGCATGCACACTGTGGTAAAGGAAGTCCAGGTGGTAGAAGATGTGGGTCTTGATTATAAAAATTTAAAACTACTTCTCCATTTTACTTTCAAGTAAGGTTCCAGGGAAGTGAAACGACCTTTTGGATGCTGGAAGCTTGATTCCTAGTGGTTGGAATCATTTGCAGGCCTCCTCTGTCTTCCCGAAAGTCTTCCTCCCCACTGCGGCTGTCCTAGGTCTGCAAAGAAGGACGTTTTGTGTGCTCACCACAGCAGCACTGTCGAACACTAGCCAGCTGGTTCCTGCAGGATGAGGCATCTGCAGGCTCCGGGAAGGTTTCAGGGGCCGTGTGTCTCAGCGTCGCCCCGGGGAGTCCTTGGTCTCAGACTTGGGGGCAGCGTGAGGCTCCTCTAGGATGGCACATACCCTGGCTCCTCCAGAAATCAGGCAGAGCTGCATGGTGCTCAGGGTGGGAAAGCAGCCGTGGTCTGTGCCACCAGTGACCAGTGTAAAATGTTCTCTGCTCCTGTACTGCGCTGGTTTCGATGCTGGGGAGCGGGTTTTATTTTCTTGTTTTAAGCAGCAAGTCCCTGCTGTGAGGTGATTTCACCTCCAGATTTCGCACAGCCACAAAAACAGCCCCACAAACCAACAAAGCAGGGGCACAGATGGGGAGGGACGAAGGGGGCCATGGAGAGCAGCGGCCCCGTGCGGCCCAGCACCCTCCCACTCCTGACAGAAGGATACATGTCACCACAGTGAGGCCACAGCATGCGACAGTCCCCCGGCTCTCAGATCTCAGGTCCTGCAGAGGCCATGGCTGCCCAGGCTGTTCCCTGAGTGGCTGCTTCCCACTGTCAGAATCAACAACTTTCTTGTTCTGGATCCTTTTTGATTTTAGGTCAAATGTACTGAAAATGACAAGAAAGGAAAAGTTGATTTTGTCAAATTCGATTGTCTGACGGTGACCTGGTCAGTAGGGAGGACGCTGGTGTGAAGGAATTTCAGAGGCACTGGCTTGGTGCGGGTTTATTCTGCAGTTTATTAATGGCAGTGCGTAGTGGGTCCCGACCTAGGGGGCTCCCTCTCGGGATGGAGTTCTGCCCTGCTCTGCCCTTCTGCCTCCATGTGATCACAGGAACCGCCAGCCTCCAGAGCTGTGAGCTGATACTTCCTGTTCCTTACAGATCACTGACCCCTAGGTATTCAGTTACAGCAGCCTATGGGGTATTTACAAAACTGGTATTAGTGCTCTCTAGGGGAACTGAATCAGTGGAGAATATATGTATAATTTTGCAAGGGGTTCACCAGGCTTCCAGGCCCGGCGTGGAAGAATCTACCTGGCTGTCTAAGGGATCTGAGGGGGAAGACTCCACACGGCTGGCTCTGTGCTGGAGGGTGCTCAGCCCTGGAACACGAAGCTGCAGAACCAGAGGGATGGAGGCCAGAAGCTGCCTTGGATGGTTGAGAAAGCTGGAGCCTGCAGTCTCCAGGCCGAGGTGCACCTTCCAAGTGGACCCCGCTCTGCGTTCCCTCTGCCCTGCCAGGCCACAGCTTGTTGGTTGGTGCTCCTGTAGGGAAGGAAACTCCCAACCTGCTGGACATCTGGTAGGAGTTCATGTTCTCTAAATCCGAAGAGTAAATTTAGGAACAACGGAGGTTAAGAGCAGACTGGGTTTATTGAGAGAAAGAAAGCTTCTGTCCAAGGGACGAGAGGTCCTGAGTGGGGTGCCCAGGATCCTGCCTTCTCTGGGATATTACAGAGCAAATCCATGATGTGAGGTGGGTAGTGGGTAATGTGTTTTTTATCCACGCCTGTGTCTCTGCCCCAGTGGGCCAATCAGTTTCCTCTGTTTACATAGGTGTCTGCCTCTCATCCACAGGTACCTACTTGGCTATTTACAGATTCTGAATTACAGTTTACCTTTTAAGTGTTAACATCAATGCTATTATTTATTTATATTTCATATCTATTGATAGTATTTTATAATTCAATACCTCTGTCATGTGTCACAGTAGACACATCCATGTGGCTGATGGTACTAAGTGGGGCTTATTTTGGGAGTAGGATAGATAGATAGATAGATAGATATTTCAAAGAGGAAAAAACCAAGAAAAATAAAACAATGAAACCAATCAAAATAAACCAGTATAAGTGATACAGGACTTCAAAACCTTACAAAACCAACAATAGTTACCATAATCCTTTTTGTTGTCTTCAAAATAGCTGCAGATACCTTCAGACACAGTAAAAATGGATCAGTGCAAAATAGAATAGAAACAATAAAAACAAAACAATGAATGCAATAAAAGAGTTCAAAACAAGCCACTAGTAAGTCCAATATGGTACCATAATGTGTTTTGCTATCTTTCAAAGAGCTGCTCCTGCCATCAGATTTAACATAATCAGACAAAACAAAAGAGAATAAAGCCCAACCCAGCAGAACAGTGGAGATGACATGGCTTCCAGGCGGGACGCCTCCTGGTGAGGGCTGGTTCTCTGCCCCCTGTAGTCTGCAAAAGGTGCTGACTCAGAGAGGTATGGGTCTGGCTGTCCCCACTCCAGCAGTGGAATTCCCACAACACTGGTTTCCAGGCTGGGATCACCTGGTGAGGAGGCCGGTTCTCTTCTCTCTCCCCACAGTCCTGAAATCTGTAGGGCTGATATTATGAGCACTCTGAAATTATTTTCTGAGTAAGTCTTATTTTTGGAGAAATATGGTAATCGGCTGAATGTTCTTCATCCATTCAAGTTGACAGTGAGTGAGGCCCCAGCCCGAAGCAGGTGTGAGCCCGGGATGTCTGACCCAGCAACCCGTGAGGAGGGAGTGTGGAAACCGAGCCAGACGTGACCACAGCCCAGCTGACCTGTGACAGCAGCTGTCAGCGGAGCCCGGGGCCGATTTGAAGAAACCAAGATGATTCGTACTGTTTTACTGCGCTTAGTTTTGTGTTTGGTTTTGCAGTCGCGGAGAGGGAACACTGTCTAGCTGCTGACTGACCACGCACTCTGCAGCGTGTGGGTCTCTTTTCAGCTTGCACTGTTTTCTCCTGCCCTTCCAGCTGCCTCCCTGGTTTCAAAGGCTGGACTTCATATCTTTTGTGTGGAAGCTTCATATGAACGCAGTTCCACAACCTCATCAGAGAGACTGATCTGCGAGGGAGGACAGGTCTGCAGCTCACCTGTGTGACCCTGGGACGTTCGTCCTGTGGTGTCCGGGACCTGGTGAGAAGCCATGGGGTATATTCTCTGGGGTGGCTGGAAGGCTCCTACTTGCTAAGACAGAAGTCCCCAGCACTGGTAACTTGGATTACTCCAAACCCCATGATTAACAGTGGAAAAATCCTGAGTCTGGCCTTGGCAGAGAGACTCCTGAGATCTCTGTCTACACTGTTAGCAAAGCTTTAGAAGTGAGTGCTGAGCTGCAGCCCCAAACCTACTTTCTTATCACAGGCCAACACTGCAGTGAAGGCTGAACATGGAGGCTTAGAAGAAGCAACTGCCATGCACTGCCGGGCAGCTGGGAGCCACTTGGCGCGAGCGTGGACAGAGCAGGCTCTGTGAGCAGGTGCCAGCACACGTGCCAGGGGTTTGCCACCGTGGCTCTGTGTTCTAGAAAAGGAGCTGTAAGAAGGGAAGGAGAGCTGAGAAAAGGCAGTGGACCCCTAGGAAAATGGATTCCTCCTCAAAGCCATCTGGGGTATGGGTTGGCATTGTGCCTCTGGACATGGTGGCCTCGGGCTTTGAGCTGGCTCTCACACCTGTGGACTTGTGCGAAATTTCTCAAACAGCCTGGTGCAGCTGAACAAGCCTTTCCCATGAGCATCTGACTGCTACTCACACCCCAAACCCAGTTAGGAACACAAGGGGACGCAGGGTGTGAGTGCTCAGAGATACAGATTAAACGAGTTATTCACTTTGCTAAATGAATCCTTCTCAGGATAATAACTACCTCACTGGGCAGTGTGCTCTGGCCCCGGGGGGCTCACGGTGGAGGGAGGAAACCTCAGGATCCTGGCTCTGCTCACGGAGGGATGCCACTGACCACGGCTTAGCTACAACCTCATTACCCAGGGCTCCATTTGCTTCCTGTTGGGTGGGATGTTCCTTCAGGGAATGCAAAAAACTGCATCCCAATTGAAGTGCAACTCTCCATCACAGACAGAAAAGCCGAGGCTGTATCACCACTGCACGCCCTTTCCAGCCGGACCCGGGAGGAATGTTTTGTATACACACCTACACCCGCCACTGCACAATTGTTATGTCATTGTGAACAAAATATAAGACGGCCAAACGCTTTTATTTCAAGGTAAAGTAACCGAAAGAATGCAGCCACTGGACTAGGGCGAGGTTTGTGGTGTCTGTAGGTTTTCACGTTTTTTCACTGACGTGCATTTTTTTCACGTTTAACATGCTGCTTAAGTATTTGCAGTCCTAAAGTCAGCGCAATGCAGTCATTCAAACCTGGAGTTTGTTCCTGACCTACACTCTAGCTATTGCCTTTTGGGCTCCCAGTATTCAAACTAGCTGTGCTGCTCTGGGCCTCTCAGACTCTGGACCATGTCTGACCTTACTTATTTCTCTTTCAGGCATGGGCTGGTTTCTCTGGGGTTTTCTTTCTTTTGGTTTTGCTTCTGTGTTTTCACTTGGTGTTCGGTATGTCATAAACAGGTGGGTTGAGGTTCACATACAGAGGATTTTTGGCATCAAGAATGTGATATGAGAATGGCTATCATCAAGAAATCGACCAATTAACAAGTGCTGGAGGGGCTGTGGGGAAAAAGGAACCCTCTACACTGCTGCAGGGTGCAGACTGGTGCAACCACCGTGGAAATCAGTGCAGAGAGTCCTCAAAGAACTAGGTCTCATTCAACTGAGCTATTCTCCTTCTGGATATTTTCCCAGAAGAACTGAAAACATCATACCAGAGGGATATATGTGCATTCATGTTTACAGCAGCACAGTTTGTAATAGCCAGTCTTGGAAACAACCTAAATGCCCATCAACTGAAGAATGGATAAAAAAGTTGTGGTATTTTTATACAATGGAGTACTACTCAGCTGTAAAGAAAAATAAACTTGAGACTTTTATAGGTAAGTGGGTGCAACTTGAGACCATACTCATAAGTGAAATAAATCAGACTTCCACGTGTAAACATCAAATTATCTCCTTAGTGTAAGAAGCTGAAAGAGTAAATAAGATCCAAAATGTAGACTAGATACTGTGAAATGGGAAGAATCTGTTCAAAAGGAAAGAACAACTGGGATGGGGAAAGGAGAAAAGAAGGTAAGGAAAAGAATATACATATATAATATTATATATATATATATATATATATAATAGTTAAGATAGCTATACCACTAATGTCTATTAGTTCATTGGAAAGAAAGGTCTGTGCTTATACTGATTGACTGGTTTTCATGCCCATATCTTGTGATAGGAGCAACTACTTTGAAGATAACAATATGCAATTGTTACTCCATTGTTACTCTCCTTCTGTCTTGTTTTGAAATTTGTACCATTGCTTTTCCCCTTTAAACTAGGAAGGAAATTTAAGAAAGTGATGCGACATGCGGGCAGTGGTGTCTACCTTGAAGCCCGTGCTGGGGAGGCAGGAGGACGGTGAGTCCAAGGCCAGCCTGGACTGCACAGGGGCAGTGGCACTGGAGCTCCTCTCCCTCTGCCCCACTTCCTCCCTTTCTCCGTGGGTTTGCACGCAGCTTGCTCTGCTGTATGCCTGTGTAGACACCAGGGCCTTCATTTTGAAAAGAGTAACAGTGCATTTTATAGGAAACATTTACAAATCACTTTTCTAGAAATAGAGTTTTAAAAGTGTTAAAATTTTCTGGTGCAATAGAAAAGCAGAGTTTAAGAAAAAGTGAAAGTGGCCTTTTCGTTTAAAGGATGTGGAGAGGAGCCCACAATGAGCAAGGGTCTGGCTTTCTCCTCTGGCTGGATTTGGGCGTGTGGGGTTTGTGACCTTTGACTGGATGTGGTGCTTGGGGCGGGCACTGATGGTGTGCGAGGAGCTGACTGGAATTACCTTTGCGTGCACAGGAAAAGGAAGGAGGAAGTTGTAGTGGGGAAGAAGGAGGAAGTGGCTGTCAGGGTGAGCATCCTGATCTGGCCTGCCTGCAGGGTCCCCATGTTAGACCACCGCCATAATGTCCTGTAATGTATTCTAGGGTGAAACTCTTTCAAAAAGCACTGAATAAATGGGCCTTTGCCTCGGGAGAGCTCCTCCCCTTCATCACCCGATAAAAGAAAATAAGGTGTGACAGAAAGCAGGCACCAGTCCAAGAGCTGGACAGGCCAGGACAGAGGAACTCAGCTGCCAGAGAAAGGGGCGGCAGGGGTGCGGGGAACTTACCTTCCCGGTCTCAGGGCTCGGGGGAGCCCGAGGTTCTTGCTGCTTCTGGTGTCTGAGGAGTCAGGGCAAGGTGCATTTCACTGCCTGGAGCTGTAAAAGCTTTGGGGGAGGCTCCCAAAGTCAGGTGTCAGCTGACCTCAGTTGCCTTGTGAGACAACTCTGACTGCTACAGTGGCAGTGACCTGGATTCCAAGCCTCTGGGCACTGGTTTCCCAGGGCCACGGCACAGAACCACAGGTCTGGTGGCTTCACTGCAGGGCTGATTCCTGCAGGGCCCTCATCAGAGCCGAGCCAGCCTGCCAGGTGCATCATGGGCCGGACTCTGGCTTCTGGAGGCTGCCGTGCCCCGCGGCCTGGGTTCTGTCCTCCGTCCTGGGAAGTCTGGACCACTCCCCGCCACATGCGCTTTGATCTTGGTCACATCTGCGGCTCTGGCGGCTTCTTCCTTCATCCTCCTCTGTGCAGTGTGGAGAATCGGGATCCACTGTGTGTGAGGTCGCTGGATGGTGGGGGTCAGATGAAGCTGAGCAGGGGATGAGCAGTGGCACTGGATAAACACGCTGTGCTGTGTCTCCGTATGTGATACAGAGCTACTAGGAGAACAAATGTGTCAGAACAGGTGCACAAACCCAGACATCATGGCTCACAGAGAAGCAACCTATGCACACACACACACATGCATGCATACACACGTGCACACATGCACGCGCACACACACATAATAATACTGAAACAGACAGGAGAGGGAGGGCTGGGGAAGCCCAGCTCTCAGGTGAGTATAACTCACTCACACCAGTGTCACAATGAGGCCCAGACCGTGGCCCAGCTGAGGGCTGCCGTGCGATTCAGTAATAGTCCTAGTGTTCTCTTCGAAGTGGGTTCCACCAGTTGGGCCTGGTGGTGGAAGCCTGTAATCTCAGCCTTCTGGGAGGCTGAAGCAGGAGGATCGAAAGTTTGAGGCTGTTTCGGAAACTTAGTGACTCAGCAGACCTGGTCTCAAACAAAGACTAAGGAAGTAAGCTGGGGTTGTAGCTCGTAGGGAGCACCCCGCATTCATTTCCCAGCATGGAAAAGGTGAGCGTGGGTGTTTCTTTCACCTTGTTTTTAAGGCCCCTTATCTAAAAACAGTATTTTCCCTGGCTAAGTTTTATGCTTTCCTTAGAAGCAGCTCATTCTTCTGTCTTCTGCATGGATTTTTGGGGTACAGGGCAGGGTTGAGGGGACTGGAGGTGGCTCTGCTCCTTTCTGCCTCATAAGCAGGGCAACAGTCCTGAGCAGCTACCAAGGAAGCAAGGGGTTTGGGGTGAGGAAAACACTCTGGCTGCATGTGCCAAATTATGCTGTTTTGGAGACAAAGTCCTGCTGCATCGTAGCTCAGTGGATCAAGCTGGGCTCATACCTGGGATCCTCCTGTCCCAGCCTCCACAGCGCTGGGGTCCCAGCAGCGGGCCCCACTATGCAGAAGAGATTTTGACTTCTTTCTCTGTGAAAGAACAACTGACTATGAAGCAGTTTATTATTCCTGAGCCTGACACGACTTGTAAGAGAAAAAGAGCTCTCACCCTTTCTTGGACACAGACACCCAACCTGGATTTGATGCTTCGCCTTCCCGTGGCAGCCTCAGAATGGCCCACAGTGAGCCCTGCTGCCCGCTGCTGTCCGCATCCTGTGCAGTGCTCCCCTGGAGTTCGGGCTGGCCTCATCTGTCTTGTTCGGATGGCATCCCCCTGTCTTGGTCACCTCTCGGGAGGCCAGCTGCCGTGTCATAGTCAGCTGATAGGGAGGCCTTGGCAATTCAGGACCCAGTCTGCCGGGACCACCGAGTGGGCCAGGTGCTGGTCACAGTCTCCTGGCCCACAGGAAGGGAGGGACAGTTCTGGAGCAGTGGGCTGTCATCGTGCTACACCGACAGGGCGTAGGGCACATGGCCCGTCCACAAAATGTCAGCTCGCGTCTGGCAGTCAGGTCTCGCCCGGGTGGCGCCACTGTGCTGGCCTCCAGTGAGGGCCTCGCATCCTGGAGAGTGTGTTGAGTGCATGCTTGGACCTCAGGCCAGAAAGCAGAGAGAGAAGCTGGCTTGGGGTCCTGCAGGCTCTCAGGGTACACACCAGGGTGGGAGGGCTCCCCCAGGACCCACCCCTGAGACTACATCCTCTCCCAGGAAGACCGTCTCGGAGACCAAGCATTCAGCATGTGGGGTCCTGGGGGACAGTCCCAGCCAGTGCTGTCATGCCTGGCACTAAGGACCTGGTGTGGTGGGGTGGAAAGAGAGGTAAGAGTATGGGAGGGGCACATCCTCTGGCAATACTAAGAAAAATAAATGGTAAGTGGGGCAATGGTAGAAGTTTCTGATGGATAACAACTACCCTGTGCCTGGTAGTTGGACAGAAGCAAAATTACCTTAGAGGCTTCTGTGAAACCTAAGAGGCCATTGATGTTTCTCAAAGCTTGTTAAAAGGAGAACTGGGAACTGGGAGCATGTGCAAAGGCCCTGTGGTAGTTGTATCACATGGAAGAGACTGGCATTTAAAGTGCCACAGAGAGGAAATGAGTCCTTGCATGGACTGAGACTGAGAATTGTAGGAGGGCGCTCGTGTTGCTCTCGGAACTCACTGTGTGGGTTGGGGGTTCATTGCAGGAGCTGTCAAATCCTTTGTAGAGTTAGGTGAGGAAAGTGAGCTGGCCAGAGCTGCATTTCAGAAACTATTCTGGGAGCCACGGGGGAGAATGACCTTGCGAGGGGAAATGGAGGCACAGCAGGTGAACTCGCTGAGTCTTCAGCTGCAGAAGCAGCCGCAGCCTTCTCCCTCCAGTGCGTCTTGTGGCTCAGGGTTCAGGTGGAGCAGACTGGTTCTGCCTGTCTCTGCTGGGAGGTGTCTGGTGCAGCCCTGGAGTGGTGAGCAGTGAGCCAGGTGTTTGCAGTCGTGCCCAGGACGCTTCCTCCTGTGCGCCTGTGCTGAGAAGTGTGGCCCTTGCTGTGGTGGAGCTCGGCCAGCATGTGGCAGCTTGGAACATCTCAGGGCAGGAGACATGCGCCCGTGAAAAGGCCAAACTTCAGGGCTTGGACCGGACTTGGAAGCAGTTTAGTATCCTTGTTGCTGTGTAGGGAAAACAGTCGCAAGCCACCAAGACTCCGGGGAGCAGGACACATGTTTGCCTCCCAGTGGTACGTGTGTCAGGGTTTGCAGAGGGGTCAGCTAGCCAGGGTGGAGGTCAGGATCACTCAGACATGGAGCCGTGGTGACTGGGGACAGGGATGGCCCTGGGAGGAGTAGAGAGTGGTGGGTAGAATTGTCAGGGCAGGGGATGGCTGGTCGTGGGGCAGTCAAGGCGATGCAGGGCTCGTGGGTTTGCGTGGTCGGCCTGAGGCAGCACCACCAAGCGTACGCACTGGGGAGGGGGGCTGGCAGGTGCGGGGCGGTGTGGGGCACACTCAGGCTCTCTAGTCAGCAGAGCCTGTGAGCTCTGGACATGCACGGGGTGGGACAGAATATGGAGCAGGCCACAAAGGGGCTCTGAGCTGAAGTCACCACATGTTACTGCGGCTGGAGAGGGAAAGTGCTCACAGAGCCCAGGAGCAGGACCGGGGCTCTGGGGACCGGGAAAGCCTAAGGGACAGCGGGGTCCTTGCGGGAGGAGCCGTGGCTGTGCTGCTGCAGGTCTCTGAGAAAAGATGCTTGGCCTTCTGGGTGGTCAGGTGTGGTACAGGGGTGGCCAGAGAGAGCGTTGGAGAGGGCACAACTTGGCGGGAGTTAGGCTGTGAAGGGGAGGGCGGGCCGGGCGGCAGAGAAGTGAGAACCAGGATGGTTTCCTAAAGGTCAGAAAGGAATTCTGGAGAAGAGAGAGAAATCTAGCTTAGAAAGCAGGAGGGAGGGAGCAGGGCAGGATGGGGCGCACAGAAGGCGGGGCCAGTGCAGAGAGGGGCGCTTGCTGCAGGGCCAGACCTCGGCCTGAGGCTGTGGGCTCCACGTGGGCCTGGAGCTGACCTCTGGGTGCCACAGGTGAGAGGACAATCACTTCCAGAGAGGAGCCTTGGGGCCTGCTGAGGTGCTGGGCTCTTTTTTATTAATTGTGTTTATTAGACATTTGGGGGTACACGATGACCGCACCACGGGAAATCTGCGTCTGTGCATGACATGGATTCTTCTTTTTCCCCTCAACCCCTCCAGCATTTGTTATTGGTTGACTTTCTGGAATGAGATGGAATCCTAGCAGTTTTAATTGCATCTCTTGAATGACTAGTAATGTTGAACATTTTCAAAAATATATTTGCACATGTCTTTATTTGCTGTTTCTATTTCATCTGAGAAGTATCTATTTTAGAGGCAGATTTTTGAATTAGGTAAATCTGGGGGAGTCTGATTTTTTTTTTACTTGTGCATGTATAGTTATTTTATTGTCAAGGTCTCCCAGCTATGCAGACGTCAGTTGTGTGTGATTGTGGCCTAATCTTTGGAGATATTTGCTGGACAGAGAATGACTCACAGGGCAATCCAATCTGAGCGAGAGTCAGTTTTGATTAGTGATACTCTAGGTAGGCATGACGAAGCCTGAGAGGAGACCTGCAGGTAGCTGGAGGAGGTGCTGGCAGGAGCCTGGGATGCCAGGGCCACGTGCATAAGGGGGATTCTGAGGGATATTCCCGGGAGGTAATGCCTGCAGGATCCTTTCGCCAGCATCATGGACCTGAAGCCTGAAGACAGTGTATGACATGGATGAGGGATGTATGCCATGATGAGAAGTCAGAAAGCCCTGACATCAGGAAATGGGAATTACAGCAGATGCCATCCATTAAATGCTGCTCAGTGTCCCTGGAAGCTGGCTGCGGTCGCTCTGAGGGTAAAGATGTCTAGGAATCAATGCTCGGTCTCTTGCATGACGTGGTTCAGCGCTCGCATGCCACCTACGCAGACATGCTTCATACTCCGTGAAGCATAGTGCTTAACAGGACGAGCTGCTGTGTGAACAGCATGCCACATGCACACTGTGTGTGCACTTCGTGGGGTGCAGGCCCTAGTCATGTGGCCCTGTTGCTTTTGGACCTGGGTGGCATAGTACATCATGGTGGGGGTGGGAGGCAGAGGGCACCTGCTCGGCTCACAGCAGCTGGGAAGCACAGGGAGAGACGGACAGGGACTGGGCCCAGGATTCCCCTCAAAGGCACGGCTCCAGGGACAGGACTTCCATTCCCCAGGCTTTACTGTCGAGAGGTTCTGACCCTGCGGAACAGTGCCAGAAACTGGAGACT